TGAATAAAAAAAAGCAGAACAGAGGCACATTTCACATGTACTAAAATAATTAAACATGGTATAAGCATAGACCACTTTTTGGTACCATTTGTATATATATAAGAAAAGGGAAAAGTATAACCAAAACATATCAGAGACACTTATTTGTAGAAGAATCTATTATTTACCCCCATTTCTGATACTCCTGCTTCCTTTTTTTATCATAATTGTCATGCAGTGCAGTCGCCTGACTCCCACATCCCACAAATGTTCTAAATGAATTCAGCAACATAAGGAAAAAAAAGGAATGTGTTTTGTTCGAAACATTGTTTATTAGGAAAAAAAAAAAAAAAAAATAGACCAGCAATAGTCTAAAAAAAAAGTCATTAGTGATTAAAAAATAAAAGAGACTACTAACCAGTAATCAAAAAAAAAAAAAAAAAAAAGTGAAGCAGAATCGCTTTTTATAATAAAGCGTTTGCTTTTTTCGCTTCTTCGCTTTTTCGCTTTTTCGCTTTTTCTCGCTTCGCTCACGTTCGCTTCGCCTGGGGTCCTCCAGGCGAGATAAGCTCGCCCCGCCTCGCTTCTCGCCTAGGCGAGCTTTTCAAAACACTGGTTAATCGTATTCAATAATCCGTAGTATAGGATTGTATGCCTTTTTTTTTTTGTGGGGATGTTGTAGTAGTATCGATTCTCTTACTATCTCAATTCACATCCTTTTGATCTTTCCCTTGTCCTTATGTATGGGTCTCAATTGGATTGTGTGGTTTACATGCCTAAATTCAGATCTAACTTAGTAATAAGCAAATTGGATTGAAATAGGTCAGGCAGTCGTTAGTCTGAACTATGTTGCATAACTCCTTGCTGATGCAATTGAGTTTTGTTGCATGTCTGTCTTCACAGGTTGCTATACTCTACTTCTCAAGTTTATGTAATTCGATATCCATTTTTCCTAGCTTGCCTCACAGCCATTCCATATCCTCATCTTATCCTCTTTTTTCTTTCTCCATTTAATAGAATTGTATAATGTCTTTTTAAATAATAAGAAAGGGTGAACATCCAACTCACTTCTTTTATTCATAAATCTCGGATGATTCTGTAAAGATGCCTAACTTGTTCCCTCATAGGAAGGATTGGAATGGGACAAAGCCAACCAAAATGTACTGAAATATTTTATACAAAACCAATGTGACTTTCTATGCAACTGACTAATTTAGTGCAATCTTCTTGATTCTGTAATTGTCCTCGTCACTAATGTTTATCAGTGTGGTTTGTGCTTTCATTCATTTTCTTGTGATTGTAAAAGATGCGGGTCTATTGCTGTTTTTGCCTGCTCTCAAGGAGCCTTTGATATTCACCAGCATACTATGGCATTGAAAATATTCCCAGACGATATTTTATTCTCACCAAAACTTGTGTGTGCTACATGATCAGGAGAAGAAATTCTCATTGGTTCACCATATGATTTCTATTCATTTGAACAGGATTGCTATCGTCAGATCGTTGGAGTCATTGTACTTGCTAGGTGCTCTAACAGAAGAATATAAACTGGCTGAACCAGTGGGGAATCAAATGGCTCGGCTTCCAGTGGAGCCTATTTATTCCAAAGCTCTCATTCTTGCTAGTCAGTTTAATTGCTTGGAAGAGATGTTGATAACTGTGGCGATGCTTCAAGTGGAATCTATCTTTTATACCCCTCGTGATAAGTTAGAAGAGGTATGCATATATGAATTCAACTTTTAATATGTTCCTGTGTTTTCAGTAGTAAGTAATGACCGCAAGCGCTTTTTCAAGACTATTTATGTCTCATTATAGACATAATAGATGGTTGATATGATCAAGGTACGCTGAAGACTGAAGGTATTATAAATTATTCAAGTTGGCCGAACAAACCAAATGCATTACAACATAGTAGTAAAAGTAATGTGACTAAGGATGAGGTTGATGGTTCAACTGTAATCACCAACAATTTAAAATAAAAGAAAATTTTGCTGAATAGGGTGAGTAAAGTGGAGTAGTCTTGAGTACTAGGTGATCTACATTTTCTGTGATCCTTGAGACCATCAGTGCTTTGTGTAATAGAATGTTAGACAGTGAGGAAAGTGATCATTAAATGAGCATGGCTGAAATGGGGACGTACAGATTGATTTGTATTTATTATTTAGGTGGTAAAAACCCATTAGAAGTGAATATGTTAGTGAGTTGGTGTATTTAGCACCATACTGGAATAAATTGAGAAATCAATGGAGTTGATCTGACCATTTGTAACAAAGACCCTGCAGCATTTAGCAAGTTGAATTAGTCTACATTGTGTGGAATGGTAGGGCTAGCTAAAGACCAAAATTAGCATTGTTTGAAGGAGTGATTAAAATGAGAACTCTGGCCCTAGACAGCCGAATGGCAAGCATAATTTAGTTAGCCATCCCACATATTTGATATCAGTTTTAATTAAGCTGAAGTGATTTGGTCACTTGCTTAGAATTTATGAAATACTCTTCAAGGTCGTCTGAACAAAAGAAAAGCGTTTCTTACGAAGTTAATCAATGACTTGATTTCTGAGACACTAATCCAATTTATGATGGATGCATTAAGAGGGCCATAATGGGATTGCAGTATCCCGTGCATGGTAGAGTACATGCTAAGTTGATGATGGGATTCTTGATGCTTTGTTGGCATTAGTAGCTTGGGTTGTTGCAAGGTTCTTTATGAAGACTGAGTAATTTGAGGAAGTTTTAATCATTAATGGCGTCCTATTCGTTTTTGGTCGTCACTTCATTCCATTGAGGAATATTGCATATGTTGTGGTTCATGTTTCATTCCATTGAGGACTATTGCATATGTTGTGGTTCATGTTCCTTTAGATTGAAGAAATAGAAAATTTTGACTATAAGCACCTATAGATATGGTTAAAGAAAGCTCCCTTCATCTCACTAACTTTGATGATTTGATTGATTCCTTCTCGTTTCGTGCTATTACATTTGTCTGTATCAAAATACGACTTGGAAAATAAATAGTGCATTTATTTGGAAAGCTCATATTTCTCCACTGTTGGCCAGTCACGAACTGCAATGAAATGCTTCTCAAGTCCAGAAGGAGACCATCAGACCTTGCTTAATGTATATCGTACTGCCAATGAGTTCTTAGAGAAGAGCAAAATTGGAACCAGTAAAGAAAAAGCTGAAAAAAATCTGAGAAAATGGTGCAAGGAAAACTTCATCAATGGCCGCTCTCTAAGGCATGCCCGTGATGTTCACAGGTGGGCTGTATCTTCCTTGTTGGTGTTAGAAGAAATATGTCAGGATTCCCTTTTTGTATTTGCAAGTTGTTGAAAATGAGTGATGTCTATGTGTTGGTATGTCCAGGCATATAATAGTTTTCAACCTTCTGGTATCACATGCAATGTGCTTTCTCAATATGGTTGTCATGATACCTTCTCATATGGTACAAAGTTGATTTGTGAATACATGTCTAGAACTCATATCCACCTAAAAGCTTAAGTCGGTGGTGGGCTCATCCATTGTATAATAAGACACTTTTACTTCTTTTTCTTTCCAATGTGGGATACCCACACATGTAAGACCCAATAATTTGTTATAGTTCCTCCAGGCATTTAGTTTATTGGATTCTTTGTTGCAGTCAAATCAAGGGAAATGTCGAACAAATGGGCCTTCGTGTTACTTCATGTGAAGATGACATGCTTCAGTTTCGCAGATGCCTTGCTGCTTCCTTTTTCCTCAATGCAGCTTTGAAGCAGCCTGATGGTACATACAGGTAATGAGTGCAACCAAAATATCAGTTCCAAATTTCATTTGGCAAGTGCTTGCAAAGTGTCCCAGACTATTTATAGCTTTTAACCTGGGCACCATTCATTTTTCATATTATAAACAAATTTTGAATAGTTGGTCTCCTTCATCCACGTTTTCTTGCCATTTACTTGTATTCTATAGTATTTATGTGAATTCCCCTTTCCTCCTCTTTGTAAGTATCTCATGGTTGCTTTGTTGACAGGGTTTTGTTTAGTGGTCAGATGGTGCAAATCCACCCCTCTTCTGTGTTATTCCGAACAAAACCAGAGTGCATTATTTTCAATGAACTAGTCCGAACTAATCATAATTATGTCCGCAACATTACTAGGATTGATTACTTGTGGTTACCTGAGCTGGCTCCTCAGTGTTACACCTTGCAAGAGTCGGAATCTTGGTGCTGATCCTTATGGTAAGAACTACTACTATTGGTTGTTGGACATTTGGCCGTGCTTTATTTATGGTTTCTTGGACATCAAACTTTGTTCTGGAATAATTATTCACTAAGTTTGAGAATTGAAAGGAGCCTTGCTGAAATGCATTAGTCACGACAGGTGCTCATTCATGGTTAAAACATTTGGACTTCGTTGATTTATTGTACTTTCTGATCAATTTTCTGATAATATTATGGGCATGACTAGTGAATTTTTGGAGTTGCCCTTTTTCTTGTTGCCTTCTGATCATAGATTTGATTTACTTATTTGTCTTGCGACAGGAAGATGGGTCTTGGAGGATCTGTTGTTTTGGCAGATATTCTTGCTTCTTTTTCTGAGGTGCCCTTATTTTGAAATGCATCTGAAACTGCTGGACTTTCGTCGTGGAACACAACACTATCATTCTGTTGTTAATGGTGCAGGAAGGAATTTGCCAGATTTTAATAGGCTGCTCAATTCTGGTTCCTGCGGATCTGTATTGTTTTTATGTTGAGCCAACTTCTTAGAGGGGGGCTCACTGTTTGTCAAGTCGGACCTCACCGCTACGACGCATCTGAAGGCTCTGTTTTAGTTTGGCCTTGGGTGGATTCAGTATAGCATGAACATGTGGGTTTTGCAGATGGCTTCATGTTGACTGGGACATACTTTGTTGTCGGATCTCTCCCCTTCACTTCATTAAGAACATCTGCATTAACTAGGTGGTATTGCTTGTCAGATTGTTGCAGCCATGGATGCCCTTGGCACCACCACTTGCTACCCAACCTGTGGCAGTATATGAGAACTAGAAGAATTGGTTATTCCATGTCTTAAATTATCTTTTTCTGCTAATGCTCTGAATTCTGACTCTCTCTCCTGACTTCTGAGGTTAATGTAAATTTTTATTTTGGTACTGCAGAGGTTAATATTATACATGTAACTTTTTATTCCACTCCCATATTTGTGAGACTTTTATCTAATCTTGGACGCCTAATACGTCATTTTTTTATGTTACTTACAATTTTTTTATAGTTTCTTTAATTTTGATTAGAAATTTTATGCATCGCACGTGACTGTGATTAGTATGATTGATTTTAAGGAACCAATTACATGAGGGGGTAATAAAGTTTGACGCACATCTTGAAGGGTGGCTCAAGCCTTAAAGATGATTTAGGTTAGGGTTAGGTCGGTATTTAACTAATCGTGTTGTGTTGGTATTTAATTAATTGTGTCGTGTTGTGTTCGTGTTGATTCATATAAATTTAGAATAAAAAACTTAATGTTAAGATTTAAGTCGGAGATTTTATTATTAATTAATTGAATTCGTTATCATACTTTTTTTTATAAATTAAAAATTAACTTAATAAATATAACAATAATAATGAGTACAAATATTTTTTTTGCACAATAATTATGTCAATGTTTAATAAAAAATAATAAATAATTAGCATTTTATTTTTATAATATTAGTTAAATGCATTAATCGTGTTAATTTCGTATTATTTGTGTTTGATACTAATCTAATTTATTTATTATTTGTGTTAAAGGGTTGTGTTATTTACAGGTTCATGTTAGAAATGATAAGCCCTAACCCGCTAATTTCATATCAAGTTCGAGCTGTGTTGTCACGTTATGTCAGAAAATTATCACCCCTAGTTTAAGCAGGGCTAAAGTGCCCCAATTTTGAAAAAAAATCACTTTTTAAATATCTATTTTCATTCTTGACTCTTTTTTCCCCCCTTAAATGACCTCATAACATTTAAAAAAATTTAAAATTAAAAGATGGGTGAGTTTGAAAATTGGTTTGCAAAATCAAACTAAATAATCTGCCTTAAAAAAAAACCCAGAAGATGTAGTAAATTTTAAAATTACTTTAATAAATGAGTTAAGCTCAAGTAATTTTTTATGTAGCTCATTAGGCTTGAAAATAATAGATATAATATAAAAGAGCTAATTATTTTTCGTGCCTAAAGACATGGAGTAATAAAAAAAATGGTCAATATATTTGTATTCATACCCAAAATTAAATTATAAATATAAATGAGAGACAAATAAATTTAGTCACTGATTGTTGTGAAGGTGAGTGGTGGCGGGTAATAATGGTGATGGTTGTGGTGGATAAGGCCATGACCGTGGTGATGGTAGCAGTCGTAGGTAGTAATAGTGATGATGGTGGTGGATTTTAAGTAACGATGGTGATAGTGACAGTCGTGGCGTGACAACGGTGGTGGTGGTGAGTGTGGACAGCGATGATGGTGGTTGACAATAGTGGTTGTGGGCAGTGATGATGATGGGTGGTGGGCGACGATGAGTGCTTCTAGGCGACAGTGTAATGAGTGGTAGCGAATGACGTAGTGGTAAGTGTGGTGAGGGTAGGTGACAGTGAGTGGCTGCTGTGGTGGGCGATGATAGGTGGTGGTGGTGGTAGGTGTGGTGGGGTAGGTGACAGTGGTGAATGGCGATGGTGGGCGACGATGGGTGGTGGTGAGTGTTGATTGTGGCGACGATGGTAGTGAGATGATGATGATAATGGTAATAAATATAAGAGTAAGATGACGATGGTAACCGGTGGTGGTCATGGACGANTAATCTCGTAGTCCAGCGGAAGAATGCCACTAACCTCTATTAAGGGAGAAAATATTCAGTATTTATCAAGTACCAGATTGTCATTGACACTTAGTACTCATCACCAATCAACGGATGTCATCTCAAGATAGGCAATAGAGAGAGAAAAAATGAGTATCAATTTGTCAATGAAGTGACATCTCTTAATTGATGATGAGTATCAATTATCAATGAAGTGATATCTCTTGATTGGTGATGAGTGATAGTTGTCAGTGGCAGGTGTTATGCAATGTCAATGACAGCCTGATACCTATCACTGACAAAATATGAGATGACATCCGTTGATTGATGATGAGTATTAACTGTCAACGACAGCCTAGTACTTGAGAAGTACAATATTTTTTCCTGTCGAGGGTTAGAATACTTTTTAGATGGTTAATCAGGCTTGTGGGCTCTACCGGCCCATTCAGGCCCAAGCCAAGTTACCTCTGGCCAGTTGCAAGTGCCAAGAGCCAGTTGGCCTCCATGATCAGTGGGGAAGATCAGTGGGGAAGTTGTTCCATGTTCAGCTCAGCAATGGCCTCCTGACACCTCTCTCTCTCTCTCTCTCACACACACACACACATACACACACATACACACACACACACACAATGGACTTCTCTCCCTCCTCCCGCCGGAATCGCAAACCCTCAACCTCGAAACCCGACATCTACTCCACCGTCGTAATCCATGACACAGATAATGACGACAAGAGAAGCCCCAAAAACGACGCCGTCCAAGGTGACATCTACGCCACAATGATCCGCAAAGACAACGACATGGATCCGAACGACGAAATCGACGACGACGACGATGACGAATCTCTCCCTCCTCTCCTCAAACGCATCCCCAAAGACTTCGACGCCACAGCCATCAATTATGATGACGGAAACGACGACGTTTCTATCTCCGGTACAATGATCATCAAACCCGATCGAAAAAGTTTCAACAAACCCACTCCCTCTTCACCTTACAATTTCTCTTCGGCTAAAAAATCCTACAGTAGTTCCCTATTTTCCTATCGAAATTTATCGATTCCGAAAAAAGAAATTGAGGATTCTGAAGATGAAGATGACAGTAATTTTTCAACGTTCGTGTTGAGAGAAGGTGGGGTGGGGGGTGGAGGTGGGGTAGTGGTGATGGTGGATTGGCGATGATGATGGTAGTTGTTAATCTTGTGATGGTCACGGGGGTGGTGGTTAAGGCGATAAGGGTGATAGTGGGACAATAACAGTGGTGGTAAGGTGTGACAGCAGTGGGGATGATGGTAAGGTGTGACAGTGGTGGTGGGGCGGTGGAAGTGGTGGTGGTAGTGGGACGGTGATTGTAGTGGTAGTGATGATGGTGGTAGTAATGGTAGTGGTAGTGGTTATGGTGGTGGTGGAGCAATGGAAGTGGTGATGGTGGTGGTAATGGTGGTGGAGGGGTGGGGGTGGTAGAGGTAGTTGTGGGGCGGTTCTAAACATTAATTTTTTTTTAAAGCATTATAAGAAATAATTTTTAGAGGTACTTTTAAAAAGTCACTCCAAACATATCCTTAGACCCTATTTTTTCTATTAAATTTATAGTTTTAATATTAGTCGTTAAATTAACTTTATAATAAAATTTAAAGCGATCTCAACTGTGAATAACAAAAATTATTTTATTAATTTTTTGAGATTTAAATTGTATTATACTTTCATTATATAAATTGGAATTGCGTTTAATTTTATATTCAAAATCTAAACTTGAGTTTAACTAATTCTGAATTTGGACAAGAGAGCAAAAGATGTTAAAGCTCATCATGATCTTTGGGTAATCCCTACATATTTTACATTTTGTTAATGAACGAGTCGATATTTGACTTCGTTCTATTTTTTTTTTTATCATAACATACACAAATTAATATACACAAATCCATACGGTTTAAGCTCAACACACTTGGCAGAGAGAGATCCACAAACCATTGGTGAGGAGCAACCGACATGAGAAAGCTTAATTTTTTTGATCATTTACTTCCTTAACACTAATTGTATCTAGGGTCAATATTTTTTTTTATCAGACATTTTTACATTAAAAGAAAATAATAAAATTTAATCTCGTAGTCCAGCGGAAGAATGCCACTAACCTCTATTAAGGGAGAAAATATTCAGTATTTATCAAGTACCAGATTGTCATTGACACTTAGTACTCATCACCAATCAACGGATGTCATCTCAAGATAGGCAATAGAGAGAGAAAAAATGAGTATCAATTTGTCAATGAAGTGACATCTCTTAATTGATGATGAGTATCAATTATCAATGAAGTGATATCTCTTGATTGGTGATGAGTGATAGTTGTCAGTGGCAGGTGTTATGCAATGTCAATGACAGCCTGATACCTATCACTGACAAAATATGAGATGACATCCGTTGATTGATGATGAGTATTAACTGTCAACGACAGCCTAGTACTTGAGAAGTACAATATTTTTTCCTGTCGAGGGTTAGAATACTTTTTAGATGGTTAATCAGGCTTGTGGGCTCTACCGGCCCATTCAGGCCCAAGCCAAGTTACCTCTGGCCAGTTGCAAGTGCCAAGAGCCAGTTGGCCTCCATGATCAGTGGGGAAGATCAGTGGGGAAGTTGTTCCATGTTCAGCTCAGCAATGGCCTCCTGACACCTCTCTCTCTCTCTCTCTCACACACACACACACATACACACACATACACACACACACACACAATGGACTTCTCTCCCTCCTCCCGCCGGAATCGCAAACCCTCAACCTCGAAACCCGACATCTACTCCACCGTCGTAATCCATGACACAGATAATGACGACAAGAGAAGCCCCAAAAACGACGCCGTCCAAGGTGACATCTACGCCACAATGATCCGCAAAGACAACGACATGGATCCGAACGACGAAATCGACGACGACGACGATGACGAATCTCTCCCTCCTCTCCTCAAACGCATCCCCAAAGACTTCGACGCCACAGCCATCAATTATGATGACGGAAACGACGACGTTTCTATCTCCGGTACAATGATCATCAAACCCGATCGAAAAAGTTTCAACAAACCCACTCCCTCTTCACCTTACAATTTCTCTTCGGCTAAAAAATCCTACAGTAGTTCCCTATTTTCCTATCGAAATTTATCGATTCCGAAAAAAGAAATTGAGGATTCTGAAGATGAAGATGACAGTAATTTTTCAACGTTCGTGTTGAGAGAAGGTGGGGTGGATTCGGGGACAGTGGTGAGGAGGAGCAGTGGTGGTGGTGGGACGATGAGTAGGGCAGTGGAGAGCATGAAGGCGGTGGGGGAGGGCTTAGGGTTAGGGTTTGGGAAGAAAGGAAAGGGGGGAAGTACTGCGAGTGCTAGTCTTCAGGAGGAGGAAGGGAAGGAAGGTGGGCGGTTGAGGAGTAAAGTATCGTCCAGTTCGATTCCTGATAGTGTTACGAGGGAAGATCCGTCAACTAAGTACGACTTGCTTCATGAACTTGGTAAATTCGATCGCCTCTTATATTTTTGCTTTTCAACTTGACAAAAATTTGAATATTATGGCGACCTTAGCTAGTTTGTTTCTTAACTTGCAGTAGTTTTTTGCTTTTTACTGATATATTGTGTAGTTTAAAGTGATATTTGTTGTGCATTTGTTTAGAATGTGAGAGAGGTTGAGTATATTGTGATTTTTGGAGGTCTTGTACTTGAATTATTAGTTAAGCTGCTACATAGTCTGTGCAAAATGAGGTTGTTGATTAGTAGGATTCAAGTTCTTAATGTCATATTTGGTGTTTTATAGCTAAATTAATTGTGCTTTATGTAGTTTATCAGTTTATGTGATATATCTTGTGCACTGCTTTTTCAATACAAGAGAGCAGGATCAAGAAATGTGATTTCGTGGTTTATAGCTGAACCATTAGTTGAGCTGTTCTATGTAGTATGTGAATTGAAGTGGTTGAAGAATGTGAGGTTTTTGAAAATGGCAGGGAAAGGTTCGTATGGGGCTGTTTACAAAGCTCGGGACTTAAGAACTTCAGAGCTGGTTGCCATCAAAGTGATATCGTTAAGCGAAGGGGTATGTTTGATTAATTATTTTTGGTTAATTAAGTTTGGTATTGGTTTTGTTGTTAAGGGCCACTGGGTTGACTGACTTCCGAAATGCTATGTATACAGGAGGAGGGTTATGAAGAAATCCGTGGTGAAATAGAGATGTTGCAGCAATGTAGTCATCCTAATGTTGTTCGCTACCTAGGAAGCTACCAGGGAGAAGAGTATCTTTGGGTACATATAAGAGGAATCCAGTTATATTGCTTGGCTTTTTTGAAATCATAGACGTTGATATATGCTTGTATTTTTGTCACTAAAAAAATCTGGTTTGTCTATTTTTCGTTTTGATCCGAGTTGTAGAGATGAATTTGGGTGGAAATTTTTATTTGATTGAGACATGAATGAAGTTTGAATTTGTTGGCAGATAGTAATGGAGTATTGTGGGGGTGGAAGTGTTGCTGACTTGATGAATGTTACGGAGGAGGCTTTGGAGGAGTACCAAATAGCATATATTTGTAGAGAGGCATTGAAGGTACCCTTGACAAAATTGATTGTATTGGAAAGTAGAAGTCGTTTACAACAACTAGCACTATGTTTTTAATCTGATAAGGACTCTATTAACTTGTTAGAACTTACTTTTTCCCTAGTTTTCACTTAAAAGAAAGGCTTGCTTTACTTCTTTATGGTTGTGATTTTAAGAAATGNTGAGGTTGTTGATTAGTAGGATTCAAGTTCTTAATGTCATATTTGGTGTTTTATAGCTAAATTAATTGTGCTTTATGTAGTTTATCAGTTTATGTGATATATCTTGTGCACTGCTTTTTCAATACAAGAGAGCAGGATCAAGAAATGTGATTTCGTGGTTTATAGCTGAACCATTAGTTGAGCTGTTCTATGTAGTATGTGAATTGAAGTGGTTGAAGAATGTGAGGTTTTTGAAAATGGCAGGGAAAGGTTCGTATGGGGCTGTTTACAAAGCTCGGGACTTAAGAACTTCAGAGCTGGTTGCCATCAAAGTGATATCGTTAAGCGAAGGGGTATGTTTGATTAATTATTTTTGGTTAATTAAGTTTGGTATTGGTTTTGTTGTTAAGGGCCACTGGGTTGACTGACTTCCGAAATGCTATGTATACAGGAGGAGGGTTATGAAGAAATCCGTGGTGAAATAGAGATGTTGCAGCAATGTAGTCATCCTAATGTTGTTCGCTACCTAGGAAGCTACCAGGGAGAAGAGTATCTTTGGGTACATATAAGAGGAATCCAGTTATATTGCTTGGCTTTTTTGAAATCATAGACGTTGATATATGCTTGTATTTTTGTCACTAAAAAAATCTGGTTTGTCTATTTTTCGTTTTGATCCGAGTTGTAGAGATGAATTTGGGTGGAAATTTTTATTTGATTGAGACATGAATGAAGTTTGAATTTGTTGGCAGATAGTAATGGAGTATTGTGGGGGTGGAAGTGTTGCTGACTTGATGAATGTTACGGAGGAGGCTTTGGAGGAGTACCAAATAGCATATATTTGTAGAGAGGCATTGAAGGTACCCTTGACAAAATTGATTGTATTGGAAAGTAGAAGTCGTTTACAACAACTAGCACTATGTTTTTAATCTGATAAGGACTCTATTAACTTGTTAGAACTTACTTTTTCCCTAGTTTTCACTTAAAAGAAAGGCTTGCTTTACTTCTTTATGGTTGTGATTTTAAGAAATGCATTTGATAAGTTAGTCTACCTGTGTATCAATCCCCCCCCCCCCTCTCTCTCTCTCTCTCTCTCTCGCTTTACCCATTTTCCTTCTATATCTTGGCTCGTTTGAGCCTTAAACTTGATGAATTAGCAGATTGTGATCATAATGAGTTGGTTAGTCACCCTCTACTAATGGGGACAATTACTTTTTGATGTCCTTTGTTTTGTAGTCTGGCCTTTGGAATTTTTGGGGTTGATATATTCTGTTGAACTATCAACTACTCTAAAAGCCTTAAGTTGTTAGAGAACGATTTATACTTTAATATGCCCTTTCACGTGAAGTCTAGATTTTGGACCTAGTATGTGAGGATCTTTTAATCATAATAAGGGTGACAACGAGATTCGTAACACAGGAGCTACTACTCTGATACTATTTTGAACTACCAACTAGGCAAGTACTCTAAAAGTTTAAGCTGTTAGAGAATATGTAACTTAAATACTTATATCTCACCATGTTTTTTTCCAACATTTGTGGGGACGATTGTGATCAAAATGACTTGGTTAATTCCTCCTCTACTAAATGGGGACGATTGCTGGGTGTCTTGTTTTCTGGTCAGGCCTTTGGAATTTTTGGCATTAATGCGTTATGTTCCAACATTTGTTCCATTTTGTGTAGGGCCTATCTTATCTGCACTCAATATTCAAGGTACATAGAGATATTAAAGGTGGTAATATCTTGTTGACTGAACAAGGAGAAGTCAAGTTGGGTGAGTGTTCTTCATCATCTGTACAGCCATAGGTGCCTCTGTCATCCCAGAAAATTGTGATCCTATTTTTTCCCCCCTTTTTGTTAGTTTCATTGAGATTTCCTAGCATTGATTGGATGACAGGAAGGAAATGATGTGATCAAGTCTGCACAAAATTGACTGATCTTTTTTTTGATAACTTGAAGTTGCATCACATTAGTTCTTTTGCTTATAATAGTTTACTGATCCAATACGAGCACCATATGAGCAGGTGATTTTGGTGTTGCTGCACAGCTGACAAGAACCATGTCCAAACGTAACACGGTACACTTAGTGATTTAACTGAGAACTTTGTGTTCAATTTTGGTGTTCTATTCTATGTTTTCTTGAGAACTTTGTAAACCAGTTTATGTTACATCATATTTGTATATGATCATTTAAAAAGAGTGGCACAGAGCATGAGGCCCCCACAACTGTGATGTCTGGGGATGGTCAAATTTTGGTATATCATCATTTGTCTTTCAGGCTTCACTATTTATTATAGCATCCTCTTCTCTAGTACCTCTGTGTTTTAGTCTGCTGTACCAATTGCTTTGGATTGTGGTGATGATTTCTTTGTTAACTGATGGAATCTTGATAATAAATTGTTATTTGTTTCAGTTTATTGGCACCCCCCACTGGATGGCTCCAGAAGTTATTCAGGAAAGCCGTTATGATGGAAAGGTATAATACAACTCGTGAGGCTGCCGGGGTTAAAGTTTCCATTTTGAATCCATTAATAAAAGTGAAAAAAAAAAAATCTGCTTCTTGTTTCTTGGGCTATTTTACGGCCTTTTATACATGTGATCGCATAAATTAACTCATGGTCTGCAATATACTTAGTCCTCGTTGACTCATGTCGCTTGAGTAATTCCAACAGGAATATCCAGAAGCATGATTGCAGGCTGTTACTAATTTACTTTAGTGAAAGAGAAACAAGTTTTGTTAGTAAATTTATTAGTTACTGTAATGTTCGCTGTGCCTATGACTAGATGTCATAGTTCAAAGTTCCAATTTGGGAGCTAGTTTTAGTTGCCAAGAAATATTGAAGTATTTTAGGCCTTTCAAAAAATAAGTATGATATGTATATGGCGTTTACATGAAATACAAAAGCTGTTGGTGTGTGTTATCTCCTGCAGTGATAAAAGGACAAGGTGCAGGATCACATCATGGTTGGCACATGTGTGTGTATGTATACCAATTGAAATATATAGTGAATAAAGAACAGGTTGGAGTTTACATCAATCATGCGAAATAATATAGCAAATAGACTGGTAGGGTGTACTCATGGTCTGTGATTTCACTTGCATTGTGCAATATGAAACTACAAAGCAATTGAGAAGGTAGGTACCCAACCTAACTTACCCCAAAAAAATTGCACCAAAACTAGTCAAAGCATTGACCAAAGCCATCTCAATTTGAAACTTTAAATCATGAAATTAAAACCTTTTGCATAGCAGGCCGCAATAGATACGTTAAACTGTTGATAATACTTTACTTCGTTCATTTACAGTTATGCCTTATTATTATTATTATTATTATATTTTGGGGGGGGGTCTTCGTTCATAGTTGTCATTTTTCAGTAACTATTTTTTTTTTTTTGGGGGGGGAAGGGGAAGGGGAAGGGGGACTTGATCCCTTAACCTCAACAAGGCAAAGCCTTTACAAGACAAGGAGTACCATTAGAGCAAAGGCACATTGGTTATTTTTCAGTAACTAATTTAATGTTCTAAACGGATATTAATTACATGCTTGAAATACAGATAAATGTTTATGGTTCAAATTTTTTTTTCCATGGGGAACTCAGGTCACTAATTTCTGGGAATTCATTTTTCCAGGTGGATGTGTGGGCGCTTGGAGTGTCAGCGATTGAAATGGCAGAGGTATATGTATTCAGTGCATTAATTGTTCTAACTTTGCAAAAAGAAATCTTGGCGATTTGGCTTTCCATAGATTGTCTGTTCTTAATGAATACTAAGTTTCCATTTTAATAAGAATGAATGTGGAAAAAGATAAGTGGGTGCTGTAGTTGTGTGGTAAAAACTTCTATCATCTCAATATACGCTTTTGTAGGCTTCTGAGTTCTCTTGTTCCTTTATTTATCTCTTTTCCAGGGCATGCCTCCAAGAGCGACAGTGCATCCAATGAGGGTTGGTGCATGAATTTCAAGCATTTGAACTTCTGTGCATAGTTGCTTATATAATTATAATTTATATTTCTTGGCCCGTGATTCATCACATTTTGTTCATTGTACCCATGATAGGTATTGTTCATGATATCAATTGAACCAGCTCCGATGCTCGAGGATAAAGAGAAATGGTTTGTGATGATTCTTTCTGTATGTTATTTTGTCTTTGGAACATTTGGTCCACAACTCCTCATTTACCCAAAAAGAATTGGTCCATACTTCACCTGAATCCCTTTGGGAATGGTAATATGCATGGTACTGAAACTTGGAAGTTAACTATTGCATGCTGCAAAACCCGAACATGGGTTCGAGTTTGAGAATGACCAACTTTTGCAAATGTACCAAATATGTCTCACTCACTATCCCACTTAAGCAGGATTGCACTGGATAATGACCTTTGAATCCTATTCTTTCTCTTTTCGTATTTTATGGAATTCCAGCATAAGCTTAAACCCAATGTGCTTTGTTTTTCAAAAACTTCCTTGAAACTTTTGGCTGCAATATGTTCTTCCATGGACGTTGCACTAACTTGATTATGCAAGACCACCGAAGGACTCTGAATACTGTCAGGACATTTTGTATGGTTCTTTTTTTCAGTCATTGATAGATAATGATCTTGTAGAAGCAATAACAATTGAATCATGCTTGACCATTGTGCATGCTAAATGGGTTGATGCTTGGTAGTCAAAGAACACCTCATTGTCATGTCCATGTGCTGATGTCCTTCGTACCCAAACTTTCATGACACGAAACACAAAATGTCCAATCTATTGTAAACCGGAAATGCACAAGACCTCACTACTAGTCTGCTTGTGCTCTCTATTATTAATTGTTTACGTATTGACATCCTATACTTTAGGGCCTTGACTTGGGTAGTGTGCGTTTGCAGGTCTCTTGTGTTTCATGACTTTGTTGCAAAGTGCCTTACAAAAGATCCGCGACTTCGTCCCGCTGCAGCTGAATTACTGAAGGTATGCCAGATTGGTTTGTGTTATGCGTATTACATCCTATTTGTGTATTGTTGGCATGTATTTTTGGATGTAGATACGTTATACTTGTGGAGAGGGAGAAGTCAGTAGACACCCTAAGTTTTGGCTTTCAGTTTACCTTGAATGTGTTTGCCTGAATCCTATCGGTTGAACCTGACTTCTTTGGATTGCCACTATAATTCATATGTAGCACAAATTTATTGAAAAATGCAAAAATGGAGCTTCTGCGATGTTGCCCAAGATTGAGAAAGCAAGGCAAATAAGGGCGTCGATGGCTTTGCAGGCACAAAATATTACTTCAGGGCCCTCTATAGCAGGAGATGGTGTATGCTGCTTTCTTGATTTTTTTTTTCAATTTGTTCTCTCTCTCTCTCTCTCTCTCTCTAATTCTCTGAAAATCTGCATTCTGTTTCTGATTTATACAGACACTAGTAGGTCTAAAAGTGAATAAAGACTATGGAGAGACTGTTCCCTCTAGGCATCATGACCTTGGTCTTCAAGTTGCCAATGGATTAAACATCGTAAGCAGTCTAGAAAGACAACCCCTGTCTGAGGGTGTGGAACTGGCGGGAGAAGGTATTCATGCCTTGATTATCTATGCTGTGACTAAACAGTGTCCAAATAAGAGATTTAAACCCCCCCCCCCCCCACCAAAAAAAAAAAAAAAAAAAAAAA